GAAAATCCAGGCATCATGAAGAGTGGATATTTCAAGCATAAATCTCATTTCCAACCTCACCGAATTCTGTCCATCAAACTCTCTTAGCATTTGTGTATTTTTGTTGATTTATTATCGATAATCAAAAAAAAAAATGTTTTCTTCGAAAATAAACAGCTGAAAAATGGAATCTATTTTTAGAAACTATTGCTATGGATGCCCGCAATGATTGTTCCAGAGGTTCTGATATTTTTGTTTTTGCCACTGATACCCATTCCGACTGCCATAGTGCTCTTGGTATTTTCATTAACACCCCGGATGTGCTTGGTGTTCTTGGTAGACTGGTTACCCGGATGATTTTGGTATTCTTATCATTGGCAGTGATACCTATATTAATTGCCCAGGATATTCTTGACATTGCCAATTGTAACGGCCACTCGCTGCTATCAGTTAAAAGAGTGCTGATTCTGGCACCGCGTATGAATGTGTCGATGGATCGAAGGAACCAATTAGGGTGTTAGGCTGAACCAGAGACGAAATATACTTTATTGTGTGGGACACGAGCAGCGAACAGAATGGGCAGTCGACAAATCACCAGTACTGGTTTGAATAGAACGGTTGATGAAAGGCACTCAGATAGTAGTCGTGGACAAACAACGCACACGGACCCCGATTCATCGAGTCACCCGTCTTATATAATGATGCTTCTGCAATAAATGTCACACATTACAAGCTTTGGCACCATTTTCATTCAGGATTACAGAACGGAAGCCGTGGAAACTCGGGATGGATTTTAGTGTCGTAGATTCAATCTGCGATAGAAAAGTTGGCGGGGGAGGAGGTGAATTGGGAACGGAAAGTCGGATCATTGTCGGAGATCCGATCTCCACTAGAAACGTCGTTTCCCGACGTTCAGCTGGAATGCCATTGAAAGATAACTCAACTTTTAATTTGTTTTTGTGTTTTGTAAGTCCGATTGGAGATGGGGAAGCACGGCGAAGGCTTCGCCTCCACATAATGCTACCTAAATTGATTGGCCAACTTAGTATTCTGGGTATTTTCATTGATATTTAACGAATAAGCCCTTTAATCAGTAGGTTTCACTTCTAGTAAAGGCAGAACAAACTTTCGCAGGCCTTTCGAGAGTTCGCTTCCTCAGTAAACTGAACGAAATTCAACAGGTCTGTTCCTCTAGTGAATTTTGTCCCGTCTCTGAATGGCCGATTAAAAAATTTCCGAGTCCATCCTTAACTCTCGAATTCCGGCATCTTGATTCGCTGGACGACGAATTCTTTTGGATTCAAATTCTCTTTACTGTACAGCTTGCAATGGTACAACGAATTTTCCACGCTTAGCTGCATATCCAGTGATTTCCCTAATCAAAACACAATGTTCCAGAAAAAGCTGAAGGTGCTGACTGGTACTACTGCTTCGCTCCAGAAAGGACAGAAAATTGCTTACTTTCCTCCCGTTCCCGACTCTTTCCTACCATCCTCTTTCTCCCTCTCAGGCCTAGTAGAGCGCACACTAGGCCGGCCTAGTCTGGAAGCATTAGCCGATCGAACAGGGCAGCTGAGGAGGACAACGGTGCTATGTACATTGCTCATATATGTGTGTGTGCAAGGCACAGAGCTAGGCTTGTACGGCTTGGCATTTTTTTTTCTGGTCGCCGAGGCATCATTCTTGGCTCAGATGGACCCTGAATAATGCGGTAATGTGAGCTCCACTCCAATGTTGAATGCTTTTCTTCCTCCCGAACTTCCATTTCCGCCACGTTATAGAGGAGAGAGCCAGCTTCTTCACTAGAGTATCAATGATTCGTTTGGTTTGTCGACTGGTGCCGCAATTTCTTCTTTGATAAATTCAGAAGAACCTTCGCTTTCCCGTCTCTGGTTGTTTTCAGCAAAAGAAAACATCGAGAGCTTTACCAGCAAAGGATTATATTTTTTGAGGTTTCTAAATGATAATATTTATTACTTGATTGGTCTGTTGTTTCATAGTTGTGATTCATGCCACTATTACACCTGCTAATTTCTCTATTCTTTGTTTTGAGTCTCCTAGAATTTGCTTTGATGGTACTTGAAATTGTCAAAATTAGTTTGAAAATTGTGTCGGGATCTTGAGTTCAAAACAGAGTTTTCAGGATCAGCTGACCTTGAAACAGTTCTGTAAATCTATCTTTTTATGATCGACTTTCGATAATCTTTGAATATAGAGTTTTGAATAATTCAGATGATTCTTATCCATTCCGATATTTTATCGCATTATATCGATGAAAGCGCCTTCAGTTTCTCGATGAGGTTAAATCCATGCGAAATTGGATACGATTCGTTTTTTTCCAAGTTTTGTTCGTAATCCCCCAAGGAGACGCATTCTCGAAATGAGTGCCCTTTTGATTACACTCGCCAGCTGCCTCATATTGCTTTCTTCCTCGAACGTTGTCCGAAGCTGCTTCCACGTTCGAGAGTTATAAGTGCACTTTTGCGTTTTCATGTGAGTTAAAAAAGTACATGCGCTGACAGGAACTAACAAGCAAAGGCTCCGGAAAAAACTTGTTTGCTGTGCATATTAACGTGCAGCAACGGAATTAATCCGAATCTAGTAGAACTAGGCATACATTTGCACGCATTTCCTCCTCTTTCATCTATCTGTTCTTTTCTCGCTTTCTTCTTTATTCTGTTTCTCATTTAACCCCCTTTCCTTCACATAATTGACATTTTAAAAAGTCGAAAGTTAACTGACATTTCAAAATCCTATGTGAGTTCCTCCGTAAAAAAAAGCATCAATTTTTCAAAAGCGATACTTGTAATTCAATTGTTCCACCTTTTGCTTGAAAATCATTGAAAAATACGTTTTTCGCCACTTTTCAGTTGACAACTTTTCCATTCTTCTCTGTTCTGAGTCTCCCTAATCCACATAAATCCAAATAGCCATTCAACCGCATTCTTCTACTGCACTAGTATTCTTCTTCGTACCCTTTTAACATAGCTTGAGCACTGTTCAAAATTCCACTTTGCTCATCTGCTGTTTCTCATTTTTGCCACATGACCAGCCCAGCTCTACTTCTCTCCGTGCGTGTGACAGATAGCAACTGGTCAAATGACACAATAATATTATAAATAACAGAATTTCAGTTGTTAAGGTCTTTAAAAGTAATGTGTGATTTGATATCCTATTCAGTAGAAAATAGGTGCAGTTCTTGCTAAAGAGCTAATCTTTAGTATATTTATAATATTTTCGCCAGAAGAGAAAACAACGATTATCTTACGATCAAGATTGTCGTTAAAATCGGAAAAAACTAAAAGTCGAGCTACTTCGCTGTTTTTGGAAAGATACACGCCTGAAGGGATTATTTAGGATTAGAAAAAATTCCAAAAAAGCAAGCAAAAGATATTTTCCCGGTCAAAATTTAATCCCTTCTGGTTTACTGCTTTAGTCAACTTGCCGTTCGAAACGCATATAAATTCTGAGCCTGTGCATTCGGAATTATTTTTTTTCATCCCATACATCGATTTTATATTTCTTGCAGCCACGTGAAAAAGTAAAATTTTATGGGCAGTTCTTTCCCTCCATTGTTCATTTTTCAGTAGCTCTCTTCATTTCCACTTCCTTCACCCCGCTCAAAAAAAACCCCTTTTCACCTTCTAAATCCGCATTGCAATCGTCATGCTGATGAGGTCCAGTTGCACTGTTGAGCTAAGACGTACTTGACTTAGTGGACCGAAACGTCTCATCTCATTTTTAATCTTTTAT